GAAATTGAGCATGAATAGGAACTTTTCTATTTATAAACGTAAGAAAACTCTTGAGGTTATGAATAAAACCACATTATAGATATTCGAAACTACTTCGTCGTTAACAAAACCAAACTTTTACGTTTTATGAGCTATTTTTTGTTTTCTCGAAATGCAGACAGTTGAGTAAAAGAAGTCAAACTTTCAAATGTTAAAAACAAAACTAATCATCCGAAAGTATAGCCTTTGGTTGCTCAGAATAAGCATAGAAAGAAGTAAAATAAAATTAAAAAATTTGACTGTTTTATGGGCTTTTCTCTTCCTTGACTTCCTCTCGGTCTGTTAAACAAAGAAATTACTAACGAGACAGCGTTCACAGGCGACTGTCTCCGTTTTTTACACAGTTGATAGATGATAGCACAGTAGTAAAAATACAAAAATTGCTATAATTGACAACTTGTTTAATCAAGCTTTCTCTGCTTACTTTTATCTATTCTGTCCTTCGTAGAACTGGCAATGCAGTAATAAAAACAAATAAAAAAGACTTTCATAGTAGCAGGTCTCTTTGCGGTAGAATGGAATGAGCGGTCATGCTGCTGATGATCAGCAGGACAACCAGCCGGCTATTCTGCCAGCTGTGTAGTCTATCCATCACCGCCATATTTTATAAAGAGTCGCGTCTTAATTCCGACTTTTATAGTAAATTGCTTTGAAAAACATGTCACGAATAGGACTGCAAAAGTTCACGTTTTGTTCTTTGAACGTGATTGATAAATACGTTCACGTTCCTGGAACGTTGAACTTGAACGCTAAAGCACTGGTGGGCGTGAGCTTTTTTTATACGAACGGTGTTCATATCGTCTGAAGGAAATATAAACTTCTGTTCTTATACTGTAGTAAGAACATATATGTTTCTGCTTGGTCTTATCTGATCAATAGAAGCTCTAGTGGAAGATCAGATGGTCTGCTCAGGGTAGTGACCAGATAATTGTAATGTAAAAAGGATATCCCTTGATTCTCTGATCAAGACACTGATTTTTCGAAGAACCGACCAAGGATTTTCTAACCAGAAGACTAGTTTTTTCGGCACTGGAACCGAAGTTCCTTGGCCAAAACCATTATAATAACTACATACGTTTTCCTTTGTTATCGTAACCCATTTGGGACCAACGAGCATTAATTTTTCACTAATGTAACTGGTAATAGAGAAAGCTGTTCCATTTGGTATACTACTAGGTGAAATTGCTATAGAACGTTTTGCAATACTACATTCCACACAAGATCAACACCGTTCATATAAAATAACGTTAACGTTCACCAGAACATTCGCGTTCACATTCGAAAAACGCCATGTTTAGCGTTCACGTTCAAAGAGGACGCTAAAAAGGAACGCTGAACTTTTGCAGGCTTATTCACGAAATAAAAATTCCGTTACTTTTTCAAATAAAACAGTTGAAAGGATGAAACTTCGTGTGTTTTCCGTAGACCGTCAGGATCACTACAGAAAACATTTTCAATGTAACTTTTCAAAGAAGCAACCGGGGCTCAAATGCTGTTAGTTTTTTACTAGGGCGCTATCCTCTACCAACTGGTTTAATATTGTAAAAAACGGAGATGATCATCTGGCAATGCTCTCTCGTAAGTTTCTTCATGTCTCGAAGAAAATGGATAAGAGCATAGAATCTTTCTTAAAATGTGACTAATTTCCTAGAGTTGAGATCCAATAAAAAAGCAACTCAGATACTCAAATTACATAATACCAATTGATCGGAACGTTCGATATGATCTGCTCTGTTTCACTTTTGCTTACCCCATTCATATAATTAAGAACATTAAATTTTTCGTTTTGACTATGAGCTCCATCGTCCGATGAGCCAACTGGTAACATTAAAACAGTTTTTCCTGTTAATTGTTCAAAGGTTGATGTTATTGGAATTGATCCACCTTCTCGTGTGAGATCAGGTTCCACTCCATGAACTTACATTAGAAATCAAACAAAAGTAAGCTTTTTATACAAGAATTTATTGATTTTTCGTCTACCTACCAATTACTGTTGCTTTTCTAGCAGCTACATATTGTGGATCATTCTCAAAATCAGCTAGCCAATAAATACCACGTTTTTCTAATTTAACATTATATTTATTTGGTGAATGACGTTTGTCTTTCATCACCGAATCAACGAGGTTCTTAACTAACTTTTCAACTGTTTCAATTTTCATATTTGGTACAATACGAATGGAAAATTTACCAATAACTTTTCTTGGAATTACCTTTAAAAATAAAATATTTCATTTATTCATCTTATTTCTTTCGAATTAGAAACAATAGTTCACCAATATTCATAACATTTTTCGAACAAATCCTGGAAGAATTCGACTTTTTCCTTCACTATCTTTGTAAAAGGAGAAATCCTCTTAATTTACATGTCTCTGTCAGGTATTATTGAAATATATTATACATTTAAAAAAGTAGTATAGGGCTGTTTTCTCAATAATTTTTGATAGAAAAAGACAAGCCAACTGCGATTATCGTCATTTAAAAAAAGACATTTGAGAACATGTTTTCATTAGCACAAACATTCTCAGAAGGTTTTTCAAAACAGGTTTTCCAGTCTACCTTTGAAAAACCATGCTGTATTTTGAAAATTTCTAGTAGGATTAATTTGATTCTTTTCATGAATTGATAGTCCAGAGTGGCCTCTTAAAAACAGAAGTAAAGCAAAATCTTGATTTTCAATGGTTTAGATATGATATTGAATTTCCTTAGAGTTCTAGAACTGCTGTCCGACTACCATCAGTAATCTCGGAAATGAATAGACTATAGGTAATCAATCATACTGACTCTTGTGGCAATATTTGCTCAAAGAAAAAAGATTTTAAAAGCTAACGAGAAACAATGAATTATGAAACAGAACTTGATGGAATTAGAAAGCAAAAGACACTGCTGGATAAGTAACTATATCTGTCACCCTTCTGAAGGCATGATCAGATAGAACTGACTCTGGTGAGCACAAATATGGCGTCAGAACCATTCCTGTGCACTTCAAAAACAAAAATACGAAGTATTTATGAGTGAGATCATTAACCATCCAATCTCTTCAGTAAAACCATCTTTTCTCAATAACTAAAAGGTCTGTAGGGTCAAGGTTGGTTTTAATAAACTCAAAAAATATTTCTACATAAACTGAAATCAAGTGGCGATACAATATGTCAGCTTTTAATAGAGAAAAATTCTTCCCTTTTATGAGTGCATTCGTTGTGGGCGGGCGACCTTTTACATTAAGTGACGATTTTTTTTTCTGACTGCATCTCAACGTTTCTGACGTCATATTCGTGTTCACCAGAGTCACTTATATCTGATCATGCCTTCAGAATATGAAAACATAGGGTGGCAGATATAGCTACCTATCCGCCGGTGTCCTTGAAGACCACTAGAAGCGAGACGTAATTTGATAGACAAACGTGTGAAAAGAAAATATATGCATCGACCGAGAATCGAACCCAGGACCCTTTGGTAATAGGCTAGAAGCTCTAACCACAGAGCTACCGAAGCACGATTTAATATACAGTCTAACGAGGGAAAATCCCAAGTGCTACGCTGATTTTACAATGCAATGTATACCCGTTTGTAGAGCTCGATGCGCTGATTACGATGGCATAAACCGTTTTTCTCCATAGGTCTTATTTGAAGAACTAAGTTGATTTTACATTTTGAAAGGTCACCCTGACATCGAATGCGGCGCATCCAACGGAAAAAACCCAACAGCTTGAAATTTTAATATCTTTGAAATTCAAGTCTTCCAATAAATATGTCAGAGTTATCTTTCAAATATAAACTCCATCTGGCTCTTCAAATAAGGCCTATGAAGGAAAACGCTTTATGCCATCGTAATCACCGTATCGAGCTCTACAAATATTATCGCCTTCTATATTTACATATTTTCTCTTATACACACATTATTTCAGCAGTACTAAGTAGTTACTAAACTATTTGATATTAATGACAATTTTTTATCTTGTATAGTTACGCAGAAAAATGCCTGCGAGTGGGAAGAATTTTGTACAAGAAACAATAACAGAGGCCTCAATTCTAACATCGTTTCTCGGTCACAATTTTACGCTCCTTGAAACGAAATAGATCTCCCACCTAGAGTATATAAAGTGATCGACTTCTGCTGAGATTATCCTAATCGATTATTAACCGTAAGTAAACTTGCTACAGTCAAAAACAAGCTCACACACAAAAGTGTAACTGTGTGAACATTTAAAAGTATTTTAGTGTTACATACTGACCGTTTTACAACCAACGCCATCAAATGCACCTATTTTAAAGAAAATTGAATAACATAGAAAATAGAACGGAAGACGAGAAGAATATGTTGTTCTACCTTGAATACCGTGTAATGATAATGATGGATATCTCCAACGATGCATCAAAATGCTTTCTTTTTCATTTTGGATAGGTTGTTCTATGCCGGCGTCAGAACAATACGATTTCTACAACACATAAAAACAAATAGGCATACCGTATTAGAAATGTATATCCTGAACAACAGAGAAAATTGGCACATTTGAGGGCAATACTCTTACGCCTACAAGAAAAAGGAAAGAATTTATGTTTTGTCATACAATATGTAAAAGTCATTGCGTATCTTTTGAGACTATTGTAATGGCAAGACTGAACGTTTTAAAAGTTTTATAGACATCACGATTTGTCGAAAAACTGAAATAAGACTTACAGATACGCATAAACTATAAATTTCGAAAAATTCGTGTTTTTTTATAGAAAGATCGAAGAGAGCTGTAATGAGAAAGAGAAGTTTTCACTGATTCAGGACGTTTGACATTACTTTTGAGTATGTCAAAGTAAAAATCGTTTTTCTTTCGTAAGGATAACAGAAAATTAGAGCTGGTATCAATTTTGACTCAGCTTACGTAGTCAATTGACTTATCATGCAATATAATTATACACCTACAATATCAAATGTAATTTTTTTATAAACTTCTTTTTCTTTCGAATCTAATGGTGCCACATCATCATAGATGCCTGGAATTGTTATGCGTCCATTTTCATCAACTAATGCATTCATTATGGCAATTAAATCAGACATTGCTTCGTAACTAAAGAAGAAAATTCATTATTTTCTCGCCAATCGAAAGTGCTCAACCGGTTGTAAAAAAAAGATGATGTAGATACCAAATTTTGATAATCTAATAACTCAACTTTTTACTCATAGTTCTCTTCAAGATTCATCAAAATCTTGCCTCTATCAGTCAGTCCCCTGCTACGACGAAAGGGAAAGTCTTTTGTCTAATTATGTCTGAGTCCAGCTGTTTCACATGCTCTATTACGGGAAATGTTTGACTGTAATGCGCGATAGTTGTAATATTTGCCCAAAAACTATTACATCAGCAAAAATCAAATGTTCTTGATTTTTCTGCAAAAATTTGGACAAAACTACGTCGTGAAGGTAAAGTTGGAGTTTTTGTCAATGAAATATTTAAACTTGATAAGCATTGGATATCTTTTTCGAGCATGCTGTAGTGAGATGCGCGATATTTTCGTTAGGTTCAACAAACTTCAGTATAAAACAAAAATTGATAACTTTTGAAAAGCTTGAAATGATGGTAGGAACTGTCCATAAACGGTACTCTCAAATAAAATGTTATAACATATAGGGATATATCATTTACTCTAACTATCCGTTAGTTTTCCTAAAAAAGTACAAGATTTGTTTACATTTACATTTGAACATGGCCATTCAACATTTACTACTATCCGTACCAAAAATTCCTCATCCGGTGTTCCTGCCTATTTTTGGAATAACTTCTGATAAGAATGAGATAGAGACCTACAGTCTTCGCTGTGCGATACCCAAGACTTGAGCGAAACTTTTCACAAGCGGAAACAACTTTTGAAAAAATTTGAAAGATCTGTTTTCCAGAGGATCTTTGGAAAATCAGCTCCGTTCTCAGAAAGCTAACATACAATGTTAGTAATTTTTGCACTAGCAAAAATTAAAAGCCTTATATCTCGATCAAATCTCATGCTGGCTCAAGGAAATTTTCAGGAAACGCTCAGGACAGCTCATAAAGCATAATCAAGGACGAAAAAGGTGACTTTCAGCCGAGCATTGGCTTAAGGTTTTCCAGAAACCTTCTGAAAAACCTCAAAGCATGCGTGTTCTGCTGGACCACTTTTCCGACGTGATCAACAATATATGGCACCTGTTGAGTCTTTCCTGATAATTTCCTTGAGCCACCATGAGATTTGATCGAGATATAAGGATTTTAATTTTCGCTAGTAACAGGCGAAAAACTGGTTTTTCACAACAATGCCTCTGGCGATGTTATTTTCATTTCTACACAAAAGCAAATGTTGCCATTATGCTCAGCGTAGGCGATTACCTATATTCCATGGCATTTCGAGATCCCCAGAGATATCTGCTCAGAGACAGACACATGCTCGGGGAAAGCGAGCCATTTCCGAACGACGACAGCTGAAGAGCCGGAACCTGCATAATTTTGTAGAGTAGCGTCCGGACTATCTACGCATGCAAAAGGATTACTAACATTGTATGTTAGCTTTCTGAGAACGGAGCTGATTTTCCAAAGATCCTCTGGAAAAGATCCTCTGGAAAACAGACCTTTCAAATTTTTTCAAAAGTTGTTTCCGCTCAAGTCTTGGGTATCGCACAGCGAAGACTGAAGGTCTCTATCTAATTCTTATCAGAAGTTATTCGAAAAATACGTAGGGACACCGCTTTTTGGTACGGATAGTAAATTTAGTTACTTGGAAAATAGTAAATAAATGTCCTACTTTTCTCCGGAAAAGTAAAGATAGAGTGACATCATTAGTAAAAGTCGACTGAACATTTTTGAGTAAGAATGAAACAAACAGGATTCAAAAATTCAATTATAACCGTACACGGTTCCACCAAACACGCCTGAATGTAAATCCTTTGTTGAACCTTCAACTTCGACCAAAAAATAACAGTTACCACTAAAATGAAACAAGTAAAACTCTTTCATTGTTTTAATTATTTAGTATAAAGCAAACAAACCGTAATCCATATTGTATACATGGTTTCTCTTTAGTAAGCCAATAACTATCGGATATAACAACATGATCAACATTCTACAGTAATACAACCATTTAAATGATAATAAAAGATAATTTTTTGTTTTAGAAAATAACCTGTTACCGTTAAAAATGTATGTTTCAATGATTTTAAGAAATCTTCCAAACCAATACTGCCATATTCTTCCATAGATTCAAGGACAAACTAAAAGAGAAAACAATAAATTCGGTCTTCTAATTGTTTCAATTAAATGAGAAAAATATACTTGGCATAATTAAACATTTTTTTAAAATAGCGATTTTCAAACGTGCAAGGGTTCAATCGTTACAAATGTGTTGATCGTGTCATCCTAGTGATCGATTGTAACAGAAGAATCCGACAGGAATCTGATAAAAATCCGCTACGACTCGTATAAGAATCTTATTAGATTCTTATTGAATTTTTACATAAGAAGTCCGCACGAAAGTGGCGGAATTTGATAAAAAGCAGATAAGGATCAGTTGAGAATCCTGTAAGAATTTGACAAGAAAAGGGCAAGAACTGAAAAAAACTTCCAATGTTTTTTTCCTTCTCTAGTTAGCTGTATAGTTCATTAGTGAGTGTGTAAGAAGTCGCGAGACATTTTTCAAACGACCAGTCTTACTTACCTTGAAGAAATTTTGAAAAAATTTCCAAGAAATCAATGGTGCTTATATAGTGCGTGCTTCTGCAAAATAAAACGGTGATTGGCTTTTAGTAAGAATTTCATAACGAAGTGATAAGAAAGTGACAGGAGCATCTTATCAACGTCATAGCTCATTCTTATTTAAATCTTACTTGATTCTTATCGGATTCGTACGAAATTCTTGCCATTTTCATGCGGACTTCTTATCTAAGAATATAAGCTGACACTTGCCTTTTTCCCAGAGATAAATTTACTTCTGACTATTTGTCTCACTTCAACAAGTGCTTGTTAAGTAGAAATGCCATTGCATCCACAAATTACTTTGTAGTAATAAGACTAAGTATTGTAATCTTGGAGAAGTACTTGTAAAAGTTCGTAACAAGTAAGTAGTTTTGAAAATACCTAGCAACTGTTGTAAGTGTCTGCGAAGTAATCAAGTACGTTCATCAGCATATGAGAAAAATAAAAAGGGATTATTAAAGTACTCAGGTCTAATACAACTGACTGTATGGCTAAGAAGGTTGTTTAATTTGTTGTAAATTTTGAAAAAACAGTTAGTTACTACTAGGTAATTGTCGGTACCAACCGTTGAAACTGTACCAAAAGTACTGAATGATTCGATACCTAACAGGGTACCAAACCGAAATTTTCGGTACTGTGCGAAAACAGTACCGGTACCAAAATACCAACAATTACCCAGTTATTACTACATTTTTAGACCGTAGATAACGACGCGGCCTGCCCAAATAGAACGAAATTTCGTTTTTCTAACTTGTGTGCCCTGTGTCTGCGTAAGTACATAATACATAAAAGTGAAATTTATATCAATGTGTAGACCATCTAGTCCTCCTATAAAGAAAAATTTGGAGCTCGTTTCATTCACTCGATCGAAAGTTATAGGAAAAATGGAGGTTGTAACGGAATTTCCAAAACTGGAAGACGTTTTTTGGAGCTTTTAGAACTTTGAGCATTCCTCTGAAACTAGACAATGCAAGAAGAGTTCGTTCTTATGAAAGTTGTAAAATTTTCTTCAGGCTTTCAGAATATCTACCTGGTTTTGTGTGAGGATGTCTGGATTGAAAAAAAAGTTAAACTACATTCGAAAGGGCATTTCGGACTACATTGAAAAAGACCTCCGAGCTCCCAAAGGTGCCGATTTTTTTTTCAGATGAATTCCACTGAACTGAAGAAACTCTGCCATGTGAATGTAGGTTTTAATACATCCTGATTTCGAATCCGATCTCGAAATTTCCATCTTAAAGTGGGTTTTGAGTTTTGGCTATTATGTCTATTACACTGTTTCTCTTGACTATAGTCTTTGAAATTTGTGTCGCTGCTCCTGTTTCTAACGCGAATGATAATGGACCTATCGAAACACTGAAAAGGTTGAAATTAGTATACTTACAGAAATATGCAAACTAGGAAAGAGGATACGATCGTGCAACGCCATAAAACGGGCACTATTTTATAACTTATTTTCAAATCGTATCGCTTCGCATTTAGGCTGAAATGTTCTCAGTAAAAATCCCGAAAAATAAGCTAATAAGTTCTTTTTGACAAAAGTTTAAGGAAACTACTTCCACTAACGGGGGAACATTCCCAAGTGAGGCATTCTGATTTTGTTCCAACCTGGCAATTTATACGTAATCAACGGCGCTGATTACGAATATAATAGCCGTTTGTGCCCATAGACGTTTCCTAGCGTTTCTCTCGAGAACTGGTTTTCTAGAAATCCCCTAAAACCTCAACAATGTTTTATCAACATGAGACGCTCCTCAACTCTCCACGACCTTTCTTTGCAGAGTTAGAGAATTTACAAGAGAAGCCCTAAATATTCATTGTCAGCTCAGAGATATAGAAAGAAAAAGGAAAATTAATTTAGGACTTCACTTGTAAATTCTGTAACTTTGCAAAGAAAGGTCGTGGAGAGCTGGGAAGCGTTTCATTTTGATGCAAAATTTTCAGGCTACAATTCCAACATGTTGATAAATCACTGCTAAGGTTTTAGATGATTTCTAGAAAACCGGTTCGCCAGAGAAATGCTAGGAAACGCCTATGGGCACAAACGGCTATCATATTCGCAATCAACGCTCTTGGTTATATATAAATTATTTTTCGACGTCCGCTCGGTGGTTAGATCATCTAGTTATTGGCGTATCAAATAAGTGCACTTCTAACGTTGAAGCGTCAGTTTCCTGCTCAGTATATAATTTCAATATAGAAAATGTGATTTTTATGAAATTTTTATATTAACGTATTGAAGATACAGTACAGTTAAAAATAGTTCAGCGGAAAAGTATGAGTTTTTACTAATTTCGCTAATTATTGAGCTTTTCTCTATTTTTTAACTGTTACAAAGGTGGAATTGAGGAAGAAAGTAGAAATTTGGTTATAGTATTATCAGAACATCAAGTATATTTCACCCATTCATGTTCATTATACTTTCAAACTACTCTTTCATTCTCGAGTAAACGTTCAATCTTATCGACGAGCTTTGCTTGTACTGGATCTGCTAGTTTGGTAAAATAAAATATTTTTGATTAAAAGTAAGAATGACGTATTTTATGAGAAGACTGTTGAGAAAATCGAACATTTCTACACAAATATATTCAAAATGATAGTCGAAAGGAACGTTAAACTTTCAAATTAGATTATTAAAATGCTTTTAAAGTTTAAGTTGTTGTGCTGTGTTAAATTCGATATCTAACCACTAAGAGATTTTATATGCCGATCTTTCTTACTTTCAAATTGACTGGCATTGGCTCATTCATTTCTTGGTAAGCTTCGATAACATTAATCCAGCATAATACAGGACCTTTATCATCTGTTGAACCTCGACCATATAATATCTCATTTTTTTCAATTAATTGAAATGGTTTGGTATCCCATCCATCGCTCGTGAATGCTGGTTGTACATCTAAATGACCATATATTAATATTGTCTTCTTTGTTTTGTCATTGCCATATGTTCCTGTTTGAATTTAAGAAAATAAATATAACACAAACAAAGCTTATACAAAGAATAACACAAAAATAAGTAAAAAGTATTTTTTTATTACCTAATAGAACAGGTGGTAATTTAATTTTTGTTCCATCAGGTAATGCTTGTTGACCAATATCTGCTAATTCAACAGTGACACCTTTAGATTCCAAAAGCTAAACAGCAAGAAAAAAACAGCACCATCAAATTTCCAGACATTTATAACATTGGCTAGTGGGATAGTTTCGTTGGGTTGAGTCAGAGATCCACAAGGGGGGTTATTCCAGAGCAGAAATCGGTCCGGTACCTGACAGGACTGGCTCGGTTGAAACTTTTGTAACATCTGCTCTTTTCACCTGGTTTTTCATCAAAAAACTAAAATTTCACGTTTTTTTCAGTCAGAATAAATAAGCGGATGCTCTAGACAGATATTGTTTTCATCACTTGTTTCAAAGTTAAATGTTATAGACTAGCTATTGTGAAGATTCTCTAACATGTGCTCACAAACTATTTCATTTCTAGGGAAAATTCTTTCTGAAAATCGATTTTCAAAAAACTTCACCAGTTTTTCGCCGGTATTCTACCGGTTTAAGGTATAATTCCAACCGGCCGGACCTGTTCACTGTTTCCAGCTCTGGGTCATCCTCTCTTCAAATAAAAAAACACCTATCTTAAAAGAGAGCCTTTGCATTTGTGAACAAGAATCTATTATTTAATAAATTATCTACACATCTATTCGTCTATACATTCTTGACTTCAAACTAAAATGAAGTTCTTATCAACAGAATCGGAGCTCTTACAGATTCTCTTAAAAAGTGCAGTGTTTGTACTATTTCAACAAAAAAAAACATCTTTATTCATAATTCGAATAGTTTTAAGAATTTTATCGGATATATTAATTGATTATGTTTTAACTCACGTCACGTGTCCATTCAGCCATACGAACAACTTCATGACGATAATCTGGCCACGAGCTAACTGATGGAATACTAACAGCATCACTTAAACGTTGAATATATTTCGATTTATTGTCATCAATATGTCTATATAGGTTACAAAATGAACACAAGTTATTTCTGGAAAACAAATGATGAATTAATACTTTACTTAAGTAAGCGTTTACAAAATTCATTATTATTGGCCATTTATTGCACAAACAATTGGAAAACAACGATCTATAAAATAATATAGTTATTCAACGTGCACATGCAGTGAGAAAACTTTTGGCCTGTTATTGATTATTCATTTGTCATAACAGCTGTAGAGTGAGCAAGAAGGTTAAAAAAAAAGAATAAGAACATGTGCAAAAAGGTAACGAATTTCTTTTCTTCTATTAACAAAATGACATAACAGTATTACTCCGAATGCTGTACGAATCAGTTTGGAAAATAGATAATTAGACGAACGATAAGTGAAAGTTTTGAGTTCACTCTCCGTCATAAGATTTTACTATTGATAAATGTTCGTTCTTCATTGTTCTACTAAAGAAAAATAATGCCATCTACCCCTCCAATGACTTACTGCGATGACTTCCTAGCACAGACTGATGTGTCTGTTCGTAATACTAACGTTTTTTTACGAGCATCAAGTAGAGTGCATCTGCCCAAGTTTGAAAGACAAAGAAACGAAAGAAAAGAATTAAATGTATTTTTGTTTTTGATCTGTTTTAGCAAGTGGTCTAAACAATGACTGAATCTTTTCACATTATATAGACCACGCTCCCTTTCTCTTTTTTCGTACCATGGGCTATCACTAGTCGATAATCTGCTAGGTCTGAATAGCTGAATCAGTTTTCCAGTTTTTTCAGCTCTGAATCAGAGTCTAAATCAGCCCTGATAAAACTGAAAATTATGTTTCACAACTTGTGAAACATAATTTTCAACAATTTTCAAAAAATATCTTGAAGATATTTGTTTTTGTCTTTTTCTTCTTACTGATTCAGAGCTAAATATCCTGATCAGTACTTTCAGGACTGATTCGGTTAATTAGATAATCTGAGTAATAATAAGGTTTCATTGTGTTAATTAGGAAGCGCTTTCATACTGACAAATGTATAGAAGTAAGGTCATGTTCGCCCTACAAAACTTAGATATCATCTAAGACACCTGAGTGGCCATCTGATTGGTTGAAAAGTCTGTCCGCTAACTTTTTGACTAAACCCTTTGACTTAAATAGAACCTGACTTTTTTAGGGTGTACATGGCCTTAAGCGCGAACAAATGATGTGCGCATACCCATAAAAGTCTATCCACCATGGTTTTTATCGTTCCCTAACCCGTTATTAGGAGGAAATAACACGGAAGCCGTTAAAAGATCAATCAAAAACTGAGGGCTAAATTAGGCGCAATCTGTCACTCAACGTTTGCGTCTAACTTATCTCAATCACAGTAAACGCTGTGGTTCTGATGTTTACAGGAGCTTTTTTCTTCGAATAGCTGATTCAGCTCTGAAAAATCTGAGATTGGCACTTCCAGAAACTTCAGTTCTGATTCCGTCACTAATTAGACCCGATTCAGAGCTGGAAAAACTGGAAAGCTGATTCAGCTATTCAGACCTAGCTGATTATCGACTAGTGATATTGCCTATCGAAAAAAAAGAGAAAAATTATATAGTACAAAAAAGAAAATTTTCGTTCTCGTATAAAAAGAAGAAACTTAACACATTTCAAAACGATAAGTGGCCAGTAAAATGTTTCTCACTCAATAGCGCTTTTGTCATTCAGTATAAACAGTGTAAATATTGTACGTTTTGTAGAATACGCGACTACTACTTTACATGAACTACGTTACAACGCGAAAATAGAAAACAGTAAGAGATGTCTGACGATCTTTGGTAGTCTTTTCTTCTTTTTGGAGGCTTTTATTATATGTGAGGCGTTATTTGATGACTCATACAGTCACTTATACATTGCGAATTCAGTTATGCAGTAATTCTTTTTTACCACTATCCTAACTGTTGATCATGCCTAGTAGCTTCCAGTAAAAGAATTGCTCAAACTAAATTCAATATTTTCTGACCTCTTAAAAAATGTTTTTAGAAACAAATTTTTCTCTTAGGAGTGATTGCATGAGAAAAACTCCTGCAGCATGCTCAATTCATCAACCTTGATCCTCTTACAGTCAAGCAAAACGAAGGTTATTTACTCATAAAAGGTCAGTTACAGGTTACTAAAGATTCTTCATGGACTGTAAAAATCCAAACGTCAAGCACTTGTACAATGTCTATTCTGGAATATTCTGTAGGATGTTGTACAAGTTCAGTAGCATGAAACTGTCATTCACAAGAGCATAGATATCGTTTTGAGTCTTTCTCCTGATGTTAATATTTTATTTGCTTTTCTTGTTTCAGAAGCCGTTCGATCACGATTTAAGTTAGATGAACAAGCATTAAACAAAGAGTAGCCAACCTTACACGAGTGC